CCAGGCTAGAGTGAGTGCCATGGCGTCAGCCTAGCTCACAGCAACCTCAATCTCCTGGGCTCAAGCGATCCTACTGCCTCAGCCTCCCAAGTAGCTGGGACTACAGGCATGCGCCACCATGCCCGGCTAATTTTTTGTATATATATATTTTTAGTTGGTCAATTAGTTTCTTCCTATTTTTAGTAGAGACGGGGTCTCGCTCAGGCTGCTTTCGAACTCCTGACCTTGAGCGATCCACCCGCCTCGGCCTCCCAGAGTGCTAGGATTACAGGCGTGAGCCACCACGCCCGGCCACTCTGGCAGTTTCTTACAAAGTTAAACATACACTTATCATATGAAATTCCACTTCTAGGTATCTACCCAAGAAAAATGAAAACATATGTCCATACAGACTAATATGCAAAAGTTCATAGCAGCATTATTCATTAATAGCCAACAACTGGAAAAAACCCAAATGTCCATGAAATTGTGAATGGATAAGCAAATTATGCTATATCCATACAATGGAATACTACTCTGCAATAAAAAGGAACAAACTACTGATACATACAACAATATGGATGAATCTCAAAAACATACTAAGTGAAAGAAGGTAGAGACATTCCATTTATAAGAAATCCTAGAAAATGTAAACTACAGTGTGTCCTAAAAGTCACCATACATAGGGAAAATGGGAAATTGTAGCTAAATATACCTTTATTTATAAAATATTCATTACAAAATTTTGCAAAATTTTTTCTTTGTGAGACTACAATGACAAAACACAGATTAAGGGGTGCCTCACAGTAGAAGAGGGGAAAGGTAACTGAGTATAAAGGGACATGAGGGATCTTTTTGCAATGATGTTTTAAATCTTAATTTTGGTGGTGGTTATACAACTGTGTGCTAAAACTCATCGGTGTGTACACTTAAAAATGGATGAATTTTACTACATGTAAATTATAGCTCAAACTGTTGGAAAAAAACATTATAGTAGTACTTTCTCCTTGACTAATTAAGACTGAAAAATAATTGTTAGAGAACTAGTTTTTCCATTAGGGAATTCAACATGTTGAGAAAAATTGTGTAAAACTTGGAGGATTGTTTAACAGGCCCAGCCAAGAATTATATAATTTTCTAAAAGAATGTCCCCATGTCTGACTATCATTTACTATTGATGGCAGCTAAGATGCCATGAAGTTGCATATTAAATAGCAGATTTTTGCATTTAATAGAAATGCAAATGATTTGCCTAGTGGAAAGGATAACCCCAGAAGTTATGGATTTATTGCCTGTAGGACATTAATTAGTTTTGTATCTAACTTGATATCTGCTTTTAATATTCTTTTTTCAAATGCCTATAAATACCTGAGTCTTCAAAGGTTCTTTGAATCAATTTACCCCACTGTTCCTCAGAACTAATAAGTTGAAAAATTTTGACACAATTTCATAATTGTATAATAATCAAGCTTTCAATTTTTTAAAAATCATACTTTGATATTATGTAATGGTTCATTTGAGTGTCACTCCAAATAACCTCAGGTACACATCTCAGATCACATTTCATCTGATATGAGTCACACACTTTCAGCAACACACTAACTTACACTTCAGTGAAAATTTAGAGGATTATTTCTCAGTTCATTGCACTTTCTTTATAACTTAATGAGTGTTCTGTGTTGGTGCCCGGGTTAGGGAATTTTAATAGCACTGCCTCCTTTCTTTTTTTTTTTTTTTTTTTTTGAGACAGAGTCTCACTCTGTTGCCCGGCTGAGGCGGTGTGGCGCTCATGCTAGCTCACAGCAACGCTCAAACTCCTGGACTCAAGCGGAATCCTTCGCCTCAGCCGCGCGCCGAGAAGCTGGACTACAGGCATGCAGCTACGTCACCAGCCAGGCTAGTTTTTTCTACATATTTTTAGAGCAGTTCAATTTCTTGTTGGAGGTTTGTAGTGAGAAGACAGGTGGTGCTCTTGCTCAGGCGCTGTTGCAGGAAGGACTGCGAGCCTTGAGCGATCGTCCTGCTGCTGGCCCAGGAGTGGCTAGAATGATCAGGGTGAGCCACCACCCGCAGGGTCTCTTTTTTTTAAAGACAGAGTCCTGAACTCTGTGCCCAGGCTGGTATGGTACAGTGGTTCATCATAGCTTACTGAACCTCCCAACTCCTTGCGCTCAGGTCCTCCGCTGCCGTGCACTGACTGAGTGCTGGACTAAAGTATGCGTTCATCAGCCTGGCTAATTTTTCTCTTTCTTGTGGACGTTGACCTGTATGCTCGTTGCTCAGCTGGTTTCAAACTCCTTGGCTCAAGCATCCTCCGCCTCGCCTCCCGAAAGGCCAGATTATAGCATGGCCATAGTGCCGTGCCGTGTGACCTGCCGTCGGGTATGTTTCTTGTATACGCCATGTAGGTATATAAGCCAATCCTATCCCTTTGGCATTAGGAAAGGGCGTTCGAGGTGAGAAGCCTTCATGACAACAGTCGAGAGGTGGGATTTTTAACTAAGATAATGCCGAGGAGATGTTGTTTCGTGGAACTCTGTCTTCATCATCCAACTTAGCATCTTCAGTGAGCCTCAGATCGCGCAGTGGGAGTATTCTTGCTCCGTTCTGAAAAAGAGTTGAGAGCTGTGGTGTTTCTAAGGTTTAACAAACAAAACAGAACAGACGAGTGCTATTACAAAGTGTAGATGTTGACTCAGATCGCTAATGAATTGGACGGCGAAGGACAGTCGTCCAAAGCACTTGTCATCTAAATTTAGGCTGAATGAAATGATGTCGAAGGCGAAGAGAGAGGATAAAGATGGAGCCAGATCGCGCGATGTTGTGGCGCTGACTGAAGGCACAACATCTAGGAAAGATGGACAGTATAGACTTCGTTACAGGTTCAAGACAGGAATTATATTAATCAGAGATTTTTGATTTATTTGCATTGTCACCAGAGACTGCCGAGCAGGTGAAAGGGCACTGTAGTGAGATACCATGTGTTCCCAAGGAATAAGACAGGGGCTGTATATTTATTTTCTCAAGAGGACACCTTAGCTTATTTTCAGGGGATGTGTTATTGTTTTTTTGTGTGGGGAGTAGGTGGTATCGATGGAAGTCTACATGTCGTGAGTCAGGAATATTAGTTAAGGTCATGCGTCCTCTGGGACATCGTCATAACTTCCCAAACCCCGAGAGTTCATCCTGTCAGATTCGTGCCAACTCTATTTCCTTGTAGAACAGTTGCCCAGATCTTCATGTAGAGCAACAGAACTCTCATGGGGCAAATGAGAAGGGCTGCTCGTCTTCTTTACCACTCCACGATGAAATGTATGTGTTGTGCAGATACACTGCGTAGCCATGCCCATCACTAGGTCTTATTTTCAGGGTAGGGCTTATATTGTGCAAATGCTTAGAAATCCTGCTAGGGCTGATTTTATGGGTAGGTCTTATTTTCGGGGAAACATGGTAGGTACTCCGTATTTATTGAATTGTATCTCCATCACTCCACTGAATGTATGTTCCTTGATATTAAGATTAAAGTATAATATAATAATTGCCAATAGTAAAGTAGTCTCATAGATAAGCACATGTGCACATTTTCCCATCCAAGTACTAACCAGGCCTGACCCTGCTTAGCTTCCAAGATCAGATGAGATTGGGCATGTTCAGGGTGACATGGCCATAGTAGACACATGCACACTGGGGGAATGTGGATTCACCCTGGATTACTTAAAGTCCCAGGTTACTTAACCATATGTGCATTAGTTTCCTGTATCTATCCACCCTACCGTCTGTCATCACTAATCCAAATTCCTATTCCATTATTATGAATACTGATGGAAGATGCTATACTACTGGCAAACAGGTAAAAAAATGAACCAATCAGCCACCAAATAATTGGCACTTTATAGATTTTTTTGCTTTGTTCAATATCCTAAGTGTGACTTATAAGTGACTTTAAAAAGTCTTTAACCACACCTGTGGATTATGCAGCCAGATAATGGAGTATATGTCTCTTTTAAACAATCTTACATAGTCTTAAACAACTTTTTCTTTTTTTGAGACAGAGTCTCACTTTATTGCCCAGGCTAGAGTGAGTGCCGTGGCGTCAGCCTACCTCACAGCAACCTCAAACTCCTGGGCTCAAGCGATCTTGCTGCCTCAGCCTCCCAAGTAGCTGGGACTACGGGCATGCACCACCATGCCCGGCTAATTTTTTCTATATATATTAGTTGGCCAATTAATTTCTTTCTATTTATAGTAGAGACAGGGTCTCACTCTTGCTCAGGCTGGTTTCGAACTCCTGACCTCGAGCAATCTGCCCACCTCGGCCTCCCAAAGTGCTAGGATTACAGGGGTGAGCCACCGCGCCCGGCCCAGTCTTAAACATCTTAATGGCATTATTAGTAAGTGTAAAATTGGAAAAGCTGAAAAGGAAGACATACATTTAACTAAAAGTTTTAAAATAGCATACTGGTAGGATTCCATTAAACTAAACTTTAATTTAGGAAGAAAAAGATCCATGAAAGCTGAATATAATTGCTCACTTACCAGCTGCAGAGTCCAGTTTTTCAGTGACAAGAACTATAAAATAGAGGAATAAGAGATTAATAAATTGGCATCTACCTAGATTGAAGTTCCTTATTTTCACATGGATATTGTAGAAGAGCTAAAAAAAAGTTACAAATATAGTTCCATTCTAGCTTGAAAAAATAATTTAAAACTCAGGCTAGAAGTGATATATTATAGTCTTTAATATCCTCTGCTAAAGGAATATGTGGATGTTTAAAAAAAGGACACTTTTCCAGTATTATTTCCAAAGGACAAGTAAATCACATGTAGAGATAACAGTTATTTTTAAAACTACTTCAATCACTTTTTAATGTTTAAATTTTATTATAAATTAAGGAAGCAGATTACAAATGGACATTTAAAAATTTAATTTGCTATTTTATATATAATTCATAGATAAATATTAATGACTGAATATTTGTATAGCTGTCACTTTCTTAAGTAAATGCTACCTTAACCAACACAAAGACAAAAGTTCAGAGGCAAACAGATTCCCTGGTCCTTAGTAACAAAGTAAAAAGGAATAAAAAATAATCAAAGGAACCAAAGTTTCTGGTCACCTCTAAAATATTTCAGTTTTGAAACTTTGTAAAAACAAAATATATTCCTGATTATAATAAAAACATAATTTCATACTGAAAAAGTCTATAGAGCAAGGAAGGGACAAAATATTCATTCATACTATCTTCATTCCTTAAATCATTATTTGTTCATAATAAAAATCCTAAAAGATCATGTTATTTTTCCCTCCTAACTTTAAATCTATTAGTTATTAATTCTTTGAGGGCAAGGAATGTATCCTATTACCTGTATAGTCCTTTAACTCAAATTAATTCAGCATAATACCTTGTTATGATTAGGGAGTCAGCTCAATTTCAATTTAAACTGACCAGGTTTCTGTCAAAGAGTAAATGTCATTAATTGTTTATATAAATAAAGAATAAGTGAAACAAACTACTCACAGCATTGAGCTCCCCAGTTTTGGGGCCCCATGGTGTATTTGGCTCCAGTAAAACATCACATTCTAGAACCTTTTCATCACAAGGACCAACCCCAAGATCACTTGAAAGAAAAAGACATTTTTATGGATAAATGTTCACTTTCTTAAAAATGTAAATGTGAATATCTTTTTATTGCTAACATTTAATAAATCACTCTTTAGGAATATAGTTCCTGAATATAAGGATGCCACTTCAACATTTACATTTCTTAATTCATGTAGTGATTCCCCAAGCCAAAGTCACATCACACAGGGAGCACCACTGCACTAGAAGCTAGGTAGCTGAACAGGCTGTCGTGATGGGTACTGATTTGAGAACAGCCTCTTTTAAAGGGTCCTCTATTCCCCAATCTAACAGCCTGCTACAATTGCACAATGGTAGAAGTGACTCCAGAAATTACTGAATCCAAGGAGTTCAGACTTATGGAAAGATGAACTCAACCATCAACTTTTTTTCTAGTTTTATCAATTGACCATTTAAGAAGGACTTAGGCAATTTTGGGGAAAAAAAACCCCTACAACCTCCCCACCAACCAACTGGATTTAAGGTCCCAACCTTTTTAACCACCAAGGACTTTTCATTAGTTTTTCCTCCCCTTGGACCTCCAATATTTTTGTTTTGCCTATCAAATAAATATCTGCTTGCTTTCTGAAATAATGTAAACTATTTGAGTACTAATACTGCTGATGTGGGGAAGCACTAGGGGATACGGGGTTCTGAAATGAGAACCACTGAATAAGCTACTATACAGTGTTCATTTTTTTCCTCTTACCTAACTGTATCTTTTGAAAAGGGCACAGCAATAACATCTTTGTGCTTATGCAGATCATCCAGTATTCTAGTAGTCGGACAGGACAGCAAATCACCTTCACCTTGATCACGAAATGCAGCCACATGGTCTCTCACTTTACAGCCCTGTTACATAAGAGACACTAAATTAGAGGTTTGTTCATTATAGAAACATCCCTTTGTTTATTTATTTTTTAATTTTATTTTTAGAGAAAGAGTCCTGTTTTGTTACCCAGGCTGGAGTGCCGTGGTGTGATCATAGGTCATTGTAACCTCTGGGCTCAAGTGATTCTCCCACTTCAGCCTCCCAAGTAGCTAGGACTACAAGTGGATGGCACCACGCCAGGCTAATTTTTAAAATTTTTTTGTAGAGACAGGGTCTTGCTATATTGCCCAGGCTGGTCTCAAACTCCTGGCCTCAAGAAATCCTTCAACCTTGGTCTCCCAAAGTGCTGGGATTATAGGTATGAGCCACCACGCCTGGCCTCTTATAGGGATACTCCTTTAAAGATCACTGTATATTTTTCTTCTTCTTTGCCTAGTCATATCATCATATAAACATTTTACAACTTTTTCTCAAGAAAAAATACTCACACGGAAAAGAGATCAAAACATAAATGTACAGCTTAACAAATACCCAAGCATATCCATATAACCATCATCCACTTTAAGATTTAGAATATTGCCAACACTCCAGAAGTCCCCACAGGTCTATTCCCATAACTGCCTCCATCCCTCCAAAAGATAACATCTATCTTGACTTTTTTTTTTTTTTTTTCTTATTTACTTAGCCCATTTAGTTGATATCTTGACTTTTATGGTAATTGCTTTCTTGCTTTTCTTTATCCTTTTGCCACTTAGGATGCATCCCTAAACACTATAGTTTAGTTTTACCTCACTTGTTTTGTTCAATCATTATATTTTTAGGATTCAACCACATTACTGTATGTAATAATAATATTTGATTTAATGTAGAGTGTTCCATTGTATGAATATACACCATTTGTTTACCTCTTCTATAGCTGAAGGATGGATTGTTTCCAGTTTGGGTCTATTACAAATACTATTGCTGTGAACATTCTTTTACATGTTTCCTGGTGCACAAGTGCTTATGTATACTACATTATATTAACATCACAGAATATAAGAATTCCCATTACTCTACATACTCACACTTAGTGAGACATTTTAATTTTAGTCATTCTGGTATGTATTGGTATTCACTGTGGTTTTAATTTGTATTTCCCCAGTTACAAATGAAGTTGCCCTTTACATGTTGACAGGACAAATGAATGTTTTCTTATGTGAAGTGCCTGTTATCTATCTTTTTCCTATTGATTTGTAGGAGTTTTTAAAAAAATATATTGACAACATTAATCTTTTATGGATATATGTGTTGCTAATATCCCATTCTACCTGTAAGTTTGTCTCTTCAGTTTCAATTTATTTGATGCAATTGATGTACTTGAACTTACCAACTTTTTCCCTTATGGTATTATCTTTTAATATTAATAGTTTCATTAGTTTTCCTTTCACATATAGGCCTTTTTTGGTAAATAGTTTGGGCTAGCGTGTGATCTGATTTTTTTCCAATATGGTACTGCAACGTTCCAGTACCTGTTATTGGAAAGCCCATCCTTTGCTCACTGCTCTGTAAAGCCACCTTTGTCACAGCCAAATATCTAAGTCTATTTCTTAGTATTCTATTTTCCTTCTATTGGTCCATTCGTCTACTCTTTGAAAGTATCACCCTGTCTTAAGTAGCATAGCTTTATCATAAATCCTGATATCTAGCAGAGTAAGTCCTTCTAACTTTGTCTTCTTTGAGAGTATCTTGGCTATTCTTGGCTCTCTGAGCTCCATATAAATTTTAGAATCAGCTTTGCACAGTTCCCAATAAAAACCTGATAGGTGCCAGGCATGGTGGCTCACACTTGTAATCCTAGCACCCTGGGAGGCTGAGGTGGGAGGATTGCTTGAGGTCAGGAGTTCAAGACCAGCCTGAGCAAGAGTGAGACCCCGTCTCTACTAAAAATAGAAAAAAAATAAGCCAGTCAACTAAAAATAGAAACAAAAAATTAGCTGGCTGCCTTTGTCCCACCCGAATCAGAGCTCCAAGTGTATCCATGCGCCACATGGTGCACACTGCACCCATTAGGTGTGAATATACCCATCCCCTCCCCCCCCCCAACACCTGATGAATGTTACTACTATATGTATACTTAAGTGTTGGTCAGTTAAGTCAGTTTATACCAATTTGATGGTGACTACATGTGGTGCTTGTTTTTCCATTCTTGTGATACTTCACTAAGTAGAATGGGCTCCAGCTCTATCCAGAAGACCTTGTATACTATCCTCTGGCTTCCACTGCTACTGCTGGGATGGGAAGTCTGTCTAATTATTGATGTTTTGAAGGGATTCTGACTCCTTTGTAAAATGTCCTTAGTTTTCTGGACTTTCAATATAATATATGAAGGTATGGATTTCTTAGTAGGAATCACTGAAATTTTTCTTTTTTTTTTTTCTGAGACAGAGTCTCGCTTTGTTGCCCAGGCTAGAGTGAGTGCCGTGGCGTCAGCCTAGCTCACAGCAACCTCAAACTCCTGGGCTCAAGCAATCCTCCTGCCTCAGCCTCCCAAGTAGCTGGGACTACAGGCATTCGCCACCATGCCCGGCTAATTTTTTCTATATATATTAGTTGGCCAATTAATTTCTTTCTATTTATAGTAGAGACGGGGTCTCGCTCTTGCTCAGGCTGGTTTCGAACTCCTGACCTCGAGCAATCCGCCCGCCTCGGCCTCCCAGAGAGCTAGGATTACAGGCGTGAGCCACCACGCCCGGCCTGAAATTTTTCTTTTAAGAGACAGGGTCTTGCTCTGTCATCCATGCTGGAGTGTAGTGGTGCAATCATAGCTCGCTGTGGCCTCAAACTCCTGAGCTCAAGGGATCCTCTTACTTCAGCCTTCTGAGTATCTGAGACTACAGGCATGCACTACCATGCCTAGTTAGTTCTTAAAATATTTTTAAAGAGAGAGTCTCACTATGTTGCCCAGTCTGGTCTTGAACTCCTGGCCTCAAGCGATCCTCCTGCCTCAGCCTCTTGAGTAGCTGGGGATTACAGGAATGAGCTACAGTGCCTGGCTTTGTGACTGGAATTCTTGAATCTATAAACTCATCTATAAATCTATAAACTAATTCTTGAATCTATAACTAATTATCTGTCAATAATTCTGAAAAGTCTCAACTATATCTCTTCAAATTTTGCCTCTGATCTATCTTCTTTCTATTCTATTAAGAATCAACTTAAAAAATCAGACCTTGCAAACAAAAAGACAGATACTATATGATTCCACTGTATGAGGTACTTAGAGTATTCAAATTCATAGAGATAAAAAATAGAAAGGTAGATGCCAGGGGCTACAGGAAGGGAACATGGAGAGTTGTGTTTCAGTTTTCCAGGATGAAAGAGTTCTGAAGACTGGGTATACAACAATGTGAATATACTTAACAACCATACACTTAAAAACGGTTTTATTTATTTATTTCTTTCTCATCATTTTGTTTCTCTATGCTTCTTCCTGGAAAGTTTCTTCTCACTTTTATTTTTCACTTTGTTAATTTCTCAGCTGCATCAAATCTGTCAAATTTTCCACTGAGATTTCTTTATTGAGTTTTTCAGTTCTAGAATTTCTATTTGTTTTTATTTAAACCCACTTTTCACTTTTTAGAGTTTATAATTCCCTAACAAAAATTTCTGAGCTTAGCCTCTAGAAACTTAAACTAGTAATCCTATTTATTTTATAGGCTATATCAATAATTGTAATATTTGTAGTTCCTGCAGTCTATTTTTGTTGCCTAAATTCTGATGCTCCCATTCTTGGTAACTTCTATCTATGCAGATTATTTTTGTGCGCTAAATATTTTGTTAAGAAATTGTTTGTAGAAATAATTTGAGGCCTAGAATAATGTTATTATTCTCCAAAGAAGATTTTTATTACTTTTGCCAGGTATATGGGTGGGTATAGTGGCAAATATAGGCAATTCAAAGGAATCAAAACTAGGCTGCAATCTAGGAAAGAACTGCTTACTTCTGATTTACTCTTACTTTCTCTGAGATCTCAACTCAAAGGGTAAAGGTCGGAATGTTATTCATTAATTTTCCCACTTTTGGCAGATCTTGAACCCCGACAAAAATCCTAATAGGACACCAAAAGCTCACCCCAGCCTCTCAGACACCTTTTTCAGATTGGTGATCACCCCAAAAATGGCCCTGAAAAAAAAAAAAAAATGGCCCTGAAGGTTGGCTCACTTCTTTGGGTTCCTGTCATTATCTTATTAGCTCTTTGATACTTTTAATATGGTTTTTATATTTATATTTCATCCACCTTTTTCTAGTTGACTTTTGATAGGAAGATTGCTCTGAATTACTTAGTCTGCCATTGCTGGAAATATAAATCATGATATAAGCTATTTAAATTTTCAGTTAGCCTAAGCTATCATCTCAATCAATATACATGAAGTCACATACTTATCATACAGTTTAATTACTATTTATTCTTTGAATGCTCTCACAATAAATGGAATATTTGTATTTAATACAAGTAAAAAGATAACAAGCCAAAGAATTACAACTTTTAGAAGTATATTTTGCTCAAAACAACGGGAAACATGATAGTAAAAATGGAAAATAACCTGACCACAAAGAAATGCAAAGACTAAAAAAATCAAGTCACTGAAAAAACATAACAGTAATGATGAATTAATGAAATATCTTGGTACTAGCAAAGCTAACCTCATTTTGCCTAAATTCTCACACCCAATTTAAATATATATACCAAGCATATAACTAACACTTGAAATAAGATTGCAAATATGACAAAACTAATCCAGCTTAAATTCTATGATCCATTATTCAATAGCATTCATGCCAGACCTCAAATTCCTTGTCCCTAAATTTCATCACTCCCATCTGATAAAACCCCAATTTTTTTTTTTTTTTTTTTAGACAGAGTCTCACTTTGTTGTCCAGGCTAGAGTGAGTGCCGTGGCGTCAGCCTAGCTCACAGCAACCTCAAACTCCTGGGCTCGAGTGATCCTTCTGCCTCAGCCTCCCGAGTAGCTGGGACTACAGGCATGCGCCACTATGCCCGGCTAATTTTTTATATATATATATCAGTTGGCCAATTAATTTCTTTCTATTTATAGTAGAGACGGGGTCTCGCTCTTGCTCAGGCTGGTTTTGAACTCCTGACCTTGAGCAATCCGCCCGCCTCGGCCTCCCAAGAGCTAGGATTACAGGCGTGAGCCACAGCGCCCGGCCTAAAACCCCAATTTTTGATGAACTAAACTACCCAGTTTCTCCATGCCTGTACTCATGCAGCCAAGGACTACTGGAGAGAATGACATGAAAAGGCATATGTTGTATTCTACTCTAATTTATGATTACCAATGACCAATGAGCTCTCAAACTGCCTGGTAATATGCAACATTTCTCTGGAAAATTGACTCTCCTGTTTTCTAAAAAGACCATTTCAAACCTTCAATACTTCCCTCAAACCTTGGAATCCCCCTTCTTCCCTTTCATTCTTAGCAGATGGCTTTACCTTCTACTATATAGAGAACAGAAAAAACATTAGATTGTAACAGGTTATCATTCAAATGACAAAAACACAATTTTACTAATGTTTGCAACCATCCTGTTTCCTTTCTATTATAATAGAGGAGCTGTCCTTCCTCCTGTCTAAACTAATACTGCCACATGTGCTTAAGAACCCAACCTACCCTGTCTTCTCATAAACCTTGTACTATCAACCTCTACTTCTCAATTGGATCCTTCCCATTGACTTTCCAAAAGGTTTCTCCTATCAAAACAGAAATTATGAATATCCATAACCTAGTTACTGACCTATCTGTTCCCTTTCTCAAATTTCCCAGAAGAGCTGTCATTTATACTGTCTCCATATGTTCATTTCCCACTCACTTTTCAGCCAATACCAACCTGGCTGCAGGATCTAGCACTCCACCAAAACAATTCTTCATACCTATGAATACCAGGTCACTAAGGCCAAAGGATACATTTCTCTCATTGTTTTATTTGACCTTTTAGCAGTATTAGCCACCATAGACCATTCTTTCTTTATTTATATACTACTTACTTAACTTTCCTGACAACATCCTTAGTTTTCCTCCCATTATTCTGGCTGCTCCTGATCAGTCTCCTTTGCAGGCTCATGCTTCTTTATCTAGCCATTAGATGTTGGAGTTTCTCTAGGCTCCAAGTGAAGCCCTCTGCTTCTTATGCTTACCTATTCCTGCTGACTTTAATTATCACTTATTTGAAAGACAACTTATAAATTATTATCTCCAGCCTAACCATTTTTCTGAGCCCCCTAACTCATATATCTAACGGCCTCTGCCTGGTTATCTCAGAAAGCACCTCAAACTCAATAATGTACATAACAGAATTCATTAACTCTCTCCAAACCCGATTCCCACCTGCTGTTTCCTCCTCAGTAAACAGCACCACCATCTATCCAGTAGCACCAGCAAGAAGCTAAGTCATCTTTGATTTCCCCCTCTCCCTTTCTGATACAATGTCATTTCAATTTTACCTCTTAAATATTGAATTCATCCACTTCTTTTCATCCCCACTACTCTAGTCCAAGCTACCATCATCTCTCTCTAACATGACTGTGATATCTTTTCTTTGAACTTGACTCTACTGACTACTCCCCAAGCCATTCTCCACACTGCAAGTGATATTTTCAAAACCTGAGATAAAAGAAAAACTCTAACATGGCCTACAAAGTCCTGACCCTGAATGGCCTGACACCTATTTACCTTTCCATCCTTGTCTTGAACTATGCGTGTGTTCTGTAACAGCCTCGGTTTCTTCCAGACTCTCTTATGGCCTTGCTGTTCTGAATGGAATGCCCTTTCCCATCCTCTTCACCTCCCCTACTCCTATGAATCCTTCAGACTTGACCAAATGCCAACCTCTCTGAGGCTTTCCTTGACTTCAGTGGCTGGATCATATCGACCTATTATAGATATTTATGGCCCTGTATATTTCTTCAAATATTTCTTTGTGTGCTTTTTTTTTCCTTTTGGTATTAATGCCTGAGCTGTAAGTTCCATGAAGGCAAAAACTATCTAATTTTATATGCTTCCTTCTGCTTTGCACAGTCTGTGGCACATATTTGGTGCCTTATAAGCATTTTTTGTATGGATGATGAAGAAGAAGAGCTTTATGTCCATTTCATCCACTCATGAAATTTAATTCCATGACATTTTCAAAGATGTTAGTGATTGAGGAATCTAACCTATAGCAAGACTCACATACTGCACCAAGATATATTGCAAGGATGTTCACTGCAACACTGTAATACCATCAATCTGGAAACAGCCTAAATGTTCATAAATAGGAGAATGGTTAAATAAATTGTTGATATATGTACAGCTTGGAATAGTACACAGAAGTTAAATAAAATGACACAGAAAGATAACCTAGATAAGTTGTTGAGTGAAAAAGGCAAATCACAGAATATGAATAGTACAATCTCATTTCCAACACAAAAAACTACATATAATTTGTACCTCAAATGCATAAAATAAAGTCTGAAAGGAAACTGTTAACTGTGGTTACTTCAAAGAAGAGATGGAAAATGGGGGAGTGGTGTAAAAGGGAACTTCTTTTTCCTATACTTATTTTCATACTGTTTGAAGTCCTTTCTACATGAATGTATTACTTTTATATACTTTAAGGACTGTAACTACAAAAGGGCAAAATTGAAAACTTACCTTTGTAAGCTGAGTGGGATCAAACCGAAGAACCTTTTGGTTACAGCAGGGATAAATTCCAGTGCCAACAGTACTCAATAAACTTGCTGCAGCAGGATAAATCACTGTTTCTGAATGGTATTGACAATGCGAAAATTCAACACAGAGAAATGCCTGAATAAAAGAAATGTATAAAATCAATTATTTTTTCCACAATGAAACTATGCATCTCAAAAATACTTAAGACCACATACTATATGTTCCATTTATATGAAATGTACAGAAAAGGCCAATCTATGGAGACACAAAGTAGATTAGTGGCTTCTGGGGTTGGAGGTTAAAAGAGAGATAGCAGCAAATGGGCATAAGGGATCTTTTTGGGGAGATGGAAATGTACTAAAATTGGATGGTGGTGATAGTTGAACAACTCTGTAAATTTACTTTAAAAAATCACTGAATCATACACCTAAAATGAATAAATTTTATGGTGTGTAATTCTATCTCAATAGAGCTATTACACAGCAAAAAATGAAATCACTTTACTCAAAATTCAGGTGAATTAAACTGATTTTGTTATACATTCAATTTCACAATTGGCCAATCACCTCAAAAGTTTTCCAAAGAAAAACAAAATTTTGCACCGCCTGGTTATTCTTTGATTTTTCTTTTTCTTCTTCGTCTTCTTTTTTTTATTTTTATTTTTTAAGAGATAGGGTCTTCTTCTGTTGCCCAGGCTAGAATGCAGTGGTGCAATCATAGATCACTGCAGCATCAAATTCCTGGGCTCAAGTGATCTTCCTGTGTCAGTCTCCAGAGTAGCTGGGACTACAGACCACCACACCTGGCTAATTTTTAACTTTTTTTGTAGAGACAGCATCTCACTTTGTTGCCCAGGCTGGTCTCGAACTCCTGGCCTCAAGCGATCCCCTACCTTGGCCTTTCAAAGTACTGGGATTACAGGCGTGAGGTAAGTATTTACCTTGAAAAATACATACCCTTTTGATCAGCCTGCAAATTAGTGCAACCTCTGTGAGAAAGAATTTGGAGATACCTCAAAGACCTACAAGTAGAACTACCATTTGATCCATACTTGGATTTGATACCACTATTAGGCATCTACCCAAAGGAACAAAAGACATTCTATAATAAAGACATCTGCACTCGAATGTTTACAGCAACACAATTCAAAATTTGCAAAAATTCAAAATTGCAAAAATGTGGAAACAAGCCAAGTGCCTGTCAATCCATGAGTGAATTAATGAAATATGGTATATGTATACAATGGAGTTCTACTCAATTATAAGATATATAAACGATGGTGATCTAGCACCTCTTATATTCTCCTGGACAGAGCTTGAGCCTATCCTACCAAGTGAGGTATCACAAGAATGGAAGAATAGGCACCACATGTACTCACCATGGCACTGATTGATCAACACTAAGGTGCTCACACAATAGTAATATTCTTTGGGGTAGGGGCTTGGAGGTGGGTAAACTCACAACTAATGGACATGGTGAGCATTGTAGCGGGGGAAAGGACACTTCTCAAATCATGATTGGGATGTGGCAAAGTCATAACATGTAACCAAAATGTTTATACCCCCATAATTTCCTGAAATAAAAAAAAATAAACAAAATACATACCCTTTGATGTACTTTTTAAGGTAAATATTTAACATCTGTATTAATAAAAACTGTGAAGTAACTTTGAATCATTGGCTTTGAAAAACTTTGAAAAAAACTTACCAAAGCTTAACTATAAAATCGACAGGTTTCAGATATTTATAAGTTGATAAAATAATTCAAAGAAAAAAACAAAGTTAACAATTCTAAACACTGATCTTAAACACAAAAGTATTTATGGATAGTTTATAATTCAGAATTTTCAGTTGTTAGTTTCAATTATGATTTTAAAATAATAGTTTTTAATTAAAAATTTTTGAGTCTGATAAAAACTATAAGATATACATTTTCATACACACAATATCTTATAAATAAACTATTTTATAAGTTTATGAACTCTCCATAATATTAAATATTATAAATCAACATTCAATTTGCTAGAAAGATGGAAAAAACTCTCAAAAGTCCTGTTAAACAAGTCAGGTTTTTGGAACTTAATATCCCTGATTATCAATGATGCTACAATTGTGAGGAGGACTACTACCTACCTATTAGATTGACAAAAACAAAAAAACAAAAAAACTCCAAACCTGACAATATCAATTGCTACTAAGATGTGGAGGAATTAGAGCTCTTACACATAGCTGGCAGAAATGCAAAATGGTTCAGAGACTTTGGAAAACTGTTAGGCATGGTAAATGTTAAACTTCATCATATAACCACCTGGCAATCCTATTCCTAGGTAATTACCCAAGAGAAATAAAACCTCAAATACACATGAAAACCTGTATGGAAATGTTTATAGGAGCTTTCTTCATACTAGCCCAAACCAGAAACACTACAGATGTCCTTCAGCTGGTGAATGGCTAAACATACCGTGATATACTCACAAAACAGACTGCTGCTTAGCATTAAAAAGAACAAACTGATTCATGAAACAACATGCATAAATTTCACACCCATTTTGCTAAGTAAAAGAAGCTAGACTCAAAACACTAAATACTATATAATTCTATTTATATGGCATTCTGGAAAAGGCAAAACTATAGAGACAGAATTCAGATCAGTGGTTGCCAGAGAGTAGGGTGGAAGAAGGAATTGACTAAAAAGGGGCACAAAGGAATCTGTTTAGGGTAATTGAAGTGTTTTACGATGTGATTGTAGAGGTAGTTACACAATTGTATGCATGCGTCAAACCTCACAAAAAGGATGGATTTTACTGTATATAAATTATACTTCAATAGACCTGATTTAAAAAATTGAAAGAACATAGGGAATCTATTGGGTGGGACCTTATACAGTTTGAAATCCCACTCTGATAATTTTGATAAGCTGTTCTTCCTTCTATTGAAAATCACTCACCCAAGTGAGAAAAGAAAATTATTGGGAGGAGGAAGACTTTAGATTCATGAGAAATTACATGTAGAAAACTCTAGATTTATACAAAAGATTAATTAGGAATTAATTAGCCCCCCATGACGTACAAAGACCTATTTATTCCATAAATGCGTTTATTATAGGTTCCTTCAAATAGTAAGCTTTTTTAGGCTTTTGTTATAGACTTCATTTATAAAAGATGAATAAGAACTTTTCAAGAACAAAGTTGTTACAACAATAAGGGCACATATTAATAGTATCCTAACTGCAAAGGCGTTTCTGAATTTCTATAGAAATGTATGGGCCAACGAAGACACAGTTTGGCTAACAATAAATGAAGGCAATAAGGATTCTATATTTTTTTTCCATTGAAAAAACTGACTTGGTTACTTAAAACCTGTTGCTTTTCTAAAAATTCAATAAGGCACTGATTATTTCAGGAATGAAAATAAGAAAGAGAAAGAGGAAACATGGCAAGAGAAATAAAGCCATGCAAGCGATGTTTAACAGCACCATTGCTTTTGCCACTAGTTTTTAAAAAAAGATGTCGAATACTGTCCAAATACATCCAAATTCTAATTAAACAGCAGATATCAAAAGAACTCTGTTCTCAATGTTTGCAGAGCAGGACATTAAAAAAAATTTACCTGATAACATCTTGAACAAGTCAGCCAGTTGATCGTTCCCCACAAGCGCCAATATACATCTCTCCAAGATTTTAATTCTTCAAAAAGACTATTCAAATACTCATGAACATCCCAAGTCTTATCTCTGGGGAAAGAGCCTCAATTTTATAAGCAAGTAATATAAACAATTTGTTTTAAAAAGATGTTTTTAAATTTGTGCCTTATTTCCAAGAACACTCCGCAAATGCTGGGTATGATGTGTACTACAGTGAAAGGCAGATACAATTTCATTTGGGAGTTTGTCTTATTCTGTGGATAACACGGTCTGGCTCTTTTGCCTGGGCTAGAGTGCAGTGGCATGATCACAGATCACTGTAATCTGAAGGTCCGGGGCTCAAGCAATCCTCCTACCTCAGCCTTCCAAGTAGCTAGGACTATAGGCATGCGCCCATAGGCCTGGCTAATTTTTCTATTTTTTTGTAGATCTGGGGTCTCACTACATTACTCAGGCTAGTCTTGAACTCCTGGACTCAAGCAAACCTCCTGCCTCAACCTTCCAAAGTGCTAGTATTACAGGCATGAGCCACCATGCTCAGCCTTTAAAGACAATTTTAAAAATGTACATCAACTGCTGACTTATAGAAAAATACTTTGAATAAGGCAACAAAAATGGATGTTGAAACTAATACAAATTACTTTTTCACATACTACTAATAATTATTACTTTCAGAATGGAAGTAATCTTTAAAAGGTGAATCAAGTGTCAAGACAAAAAAAGTATAAAGTTCTAAGTTCTTATAATAACTAATGAAGATTCCTTGATTATTGTACTAAGAGAAGAATGAAACATTTTAAAGTTGTACTATTAATACTAGGGTCTAATTAAGTGCTTTTCTGTATTTCTGTTTTAATGTATAAAATATAACAGGTTTTTCTTTAATAAAAGTGCTATCAATTTTTAATATAGAAAAAAGGACAAGCAAAAAGAGAATTAAAACCATCCATAATACTATCACTCAAAGGTAACATCACAGTTAACATTTTAGTGAACATGTTTCTAGTTGTTTTATATCCTATTTTTTCACTTAATAATGACTTTCTATACAAGTATATATTCTTTTACAACATGATTCTTAAAGACTGCACATTAAGAATTGATTAGGTGTGTTTTATATAAATATACTACTGTATGGGTATATTTCAGTTTGCTTATCATTTGTTTCCCTTTTTGGCTGTTTAAACAATATAGCAATAAATGTTCTTGTTAAATGCTTTCACAAACTCAACATTACTCCCTTGGATAGATTCCTAGCAGTAGGATGTTGTCAAAGAATATATACATTTTTAAGTTTCTGCTTTTCTGAGACATACCAATTTACAACACCCTCCCCCAACTCAGAATGAGAACTTGCTTTGAACATAAAGAGGAATATACATTAAGTATTAATAGAATATGTATTAATGGAATACTGACAAAGTATGAAACAAATAGATCACAGAAAATCCAATCTTACAATTTTCTTCACTTACCAAAATTCACCTGAAAGAAAATTTGATATAAAATTCAATATATTAATAATATTATATAGATAACTAAAATCTGATAGTTAAATTGTTTTAATGGCACTGACCAAATATCTTTCAAGATTAATGTACAATAAATTTTATCATTTTAAATGTTTAAAATTAAACATTACGTTTCATTAAAAAATTATGAAATGTACCCAGTAAACAAACTGTAACTTTTATAACTTTGTTTTGAAAGTAGCATCTTTCTAAATCAAAGTTGGATCACATGCAGAAAAGATATTATCTTGTTCTTTATAAAAGTAGTCATGGTTTTATAAATACACTTATAAAAGTAGTTATGGTTTTATAAATAAATTGACATTTATTTTTTATTTTTATTTTTATTTGCTTTGCTAGTTCGTGTTTTAGATAGAAATTCACATTTAGAAAGCTGTATTTTATCTTCACTACACCTTATGTGAATATAGATAATATTTCCATGTCGATCCACATTGATTTTTCCAGGAATACAAGGAATTCTTCTTTCTGTTTCTTTTGTTAAAAGTTTCTTACACAAACAGCATCTATAGCACAAAGAAGACAAAAAAAAAAAAAAAATCCAAGAAGAAAAATTTAAATGTAGTAAATTAAAGAATATAGCTGCATTATAAAGTATATCAAAGGAAAAACACATTACCGTACCTATACAATGTTGCTGCATTACTCCGAGAATCTGGATTCAAATACTCAGGATCAAACAGTCTCTCAATCTTCTTACAAAAAAGTTTACTATTAACAACAAATGACCAAAATATTAATTTTCTGTATTAACTTTACTAAAATTACTTTATAGTTTTATTTTATAGTAATAAAAATAAACAGACCTATCTGTACATGTGTAAAATAAGATTAGTAAAACCTCAGAGAGGCTCTCTTTGGAAGTTTATAATTTATTTTTTTTTGAGACAGAGTCTTGTTCTGTGGCCCCAGCTAGAATGCAGTGGCCTCATCATTGTTCACTGCAACCTCATATTCCTGGGCTCAAGTGATTCTCCTGCCTCAGCCTCTTGAGTAGCTGGAACTACAGGCATGTGCCACAATGCCTAGCTAATTTTTCTATTATTTGTAGAGATGGGGTCTTGCTCTTGCTCAGGTTGGTCTCAAACTCCTGGCAATCCTCCTGCCTCAGCCTTCCAAAGTGCTAGGATTACAGGCATGAGCCACCATGCCCAGCCTTACAATACATTTTTGATGTTCTAAGTAAACCTACAAATGAAAACTGCTTGATCAAGAATCTATTTTCACAAGAAAAATAAGATTGATGGATATCTTTGATTGATATCTTTGATGGATACCTTTCTTTCAGTCCTTTGTTAATGTAATATTTAAGATTAAAGATTTTGAGAATTTAACAATCTAGGGCAACCAATAACTAGGTTTATGATCTTTAACAGCTTAACCTTTCTGTACCTTGTTTTCTTATCTATAAATTGGCTGATAATTTCAACCTCATAAGGTTTTATGAAAATTAAATGATGCTTCCATTTTTAAAATTATTTTATTTATTTATCTTTTGAGACAGGGTTTCAGTCTATCACCCAGATTAGAGGGCAGTGGCACAATCATAGCTCACTGCAGTGATCATAGCTCACTACAGCCTCAAACTCCTGGGCTCAAGTGATCCTCCCACTTCAGCCTCCCAAGTAGCTAGGATTATAGGCACAGATCAATGCTACCTAGCTAATATTTAAAAAAAAATTTTGGGGGTCGGGCATGGTGGCTCACGTCTGTAATCCTAGCACTCTGGGAGGCCGAGGTGGGTGGATTGCTTGAGGTCAGGAGTTCGAAACCAGCCTGAGCAAGAGCAAGATCCTGTCTCTACTGTAAATAGAAAGAAATTAATCAGCCAACTAATATATATAGAAAAAATTAGCCAGGCATGGTGGCGCATGCCTGTAGTCCTAGCCACTCGGGAGGCTGAGGCAATAGGATTGCTTGAGCCCAGGAGTTTTAGGTTGTTGAGAGTTAGGCTGACACCATGGCACTCACTCTAGCTTGGGCAACAAAGCGAGACTCTGTCTCAAAAAAAAAATGTTGCCCAGGTTGGTCTCAAACTCCTGGCCTCCAGTGATCCTTTCTTCTTGGACTCCCGAAGTGCTGGGATTACAGTCATGAGCCACTATGTCCAGCCCATAAATGATGTTTTTATAGAGTGCCAGACATAATATTAAGCATTAAATAAATGTTAACTACTTTATTATTATGCATAATATAATTGAACTTAAAGTCTTCTAAGTGTGTCTTTAATTGCAAATGTATGTCCTACTTGTCTCCATTTTTCCTTGTGTAATGTCTGCTGCTATTAAAAGCCAAATCTGGATTTAGGATTCCATTCCTGTTTTCAATTATTTAGCTCTTGGCTAATTCTTCTCTGTCTCATTCCCCTTAAGGACTAAATTCTTAGATAATTCAATGCATTATCAATTTCTTCCTCTCTAATGGATCATCCTGATCAGCATATAAACATAATCTAGTATCTCTCTTCTTTAAAAAATCCTCTCTAGAGCCTACCTATCCCTCATAGCTACTGCTAACTTTTTAAACAATCATTCAGAGTAAAACATCTGGAAAAAAGTTTTCTAAATCCAGTTGGTAACATTTCTGTTTCCATTGTACTCTACATGAGAGCAGCATTCGATACATGTGGTAACTTAAATCATTTCCTCCTTTTGAAACCTTCTTTCCTTTTGCCTTCCCTTCTACTTCACTGGCTCCTCATTCTCAGGCTCCTCAATGGCTTCTTCTCCTCTGCTGAACCTCTAAATATTGGGTAGCCTTTATCAATACTATCTTGCTAACAATTAGAAAATAAAATAAATAATAGCATTTACAATAGCACCAAAAGTTTAAATCCTTAGGAATAAATTTAAAAGGAAAAATATCTCTACACCAAAACTATAAGACATTGCTGAAATAAATTAAAGAAGGCTCAAATAAATGGAACGTTATACCATATTTACAGACTGAAAGACTCAATATTATTAAGACGCTCAATCTTCCTAAATTGATCTACATGTTCCATATTAACCACAAATTCCAGCAGGTTTGTGTGTGTGCGAGAAAGAGACAATAGACAAGTTGATTATAAAATTTATATAGAAATGCAAAGGACCTAAAATAGCCAAGAAAGCAATCTTAAAGAAAGGTAAAACTTGAGAATTTAGATTACTAGATACCAAAACTTATTACAAGGCTACTGTAATTAAGACAATGTGCTACTGACGCAAGGGTAGACAAATCAACAAAACAAACAGACCACTCAGAAACAGACCTCACATATAGTATCTTGATAAAGTAAAGCTGACATTGCAATTCAGTGGGGAAAGGACGGTCTTTACAATATATGTTGTATCGACAACATATCTGTTTGAAAACACAAATGAACCTTACTCCCTATCTCATACAACACACAAAAAAACTAATTCAAGATGAATAATAAAAAAAAATAGGAGGATGTCTTCACCACTTTTCCGTAGTGAAAGATTTCTTGAACAGGACACACATAAAAAACACTAATTAGGGTCTCTTGCTAGGAGATCTCATCCAGTTCCATGGTTTTAAACCTCATCTACTCTTAAGTTTCTATTTTAAGCCCTGATCTCTGACCTAAATATCAAACTAATAATCCAACTATCTACCTGCCATCCCACCTAGATGTCTAAGAAGTATATTAAATAATCTCAACAAGAGCCAAATCCATCCCCTCCCAATCTTTCCTTTCTCTATTAATGGTACTACCATACACTTAGTTGCTCAAGCTGAAAACATATTATCCTGGAATCCTCTCTCTCTTCCTACATCATTGTATCCACAAATCTATCATATCTTTCTAATAACATATCCTGAATCCATCTATTTCTTTCCAGCTCCACTGCTTCTACCCTAGTTCAAACTTTCATTTTTCAAGAGACTACAGCACTAGACTCCTAAGAGGTCTCCTTGCTTCTTATATTCCTAAAGTCTATTCTCCACATAGTAACCAGAATGAGCTCTTGAAAACAAATCAGGTCACGTCACTCCCCTGTTTCCATTCACACCTAGAATAAAGTATATCCTCCTTGCTATTACCTAAACAGCCCCTAAATGATATAATTACTGCTGAGCTTCTCTCGTACTACTCTTCCCCTTTATACCAACGCCAATTTTTGTTGTTGTTGTTAGAGATGGCGGTCTCACTATGTTGCCCAGACTAGAGTACCTATTCACAGGCATGATCATTGTACACTATAGCCTCCAAGTCCTGGTCTCCGGTAATCCTCCTGCCTCAGTTTCCTGAGTAGTGTCTTAATAATTTTTAACATAATTCACTATCACTATATGCTCATATGTTCATTATACAAGATAACTAATTACTATTAATAATTTTTATCTTGAGCCATTAGCTCTGCATAAACTTTACTTAACTTAAAATAAATGTATAGGCCGGGCGCGGTGGCTCACACCTGTAATCCTAGCACTCTGGGAAGCTGAGGTGGGCGGATTGCTTGAGGTCAGGAGTTCGAAACCAGCTCTAAGCAAGAGCGAGACCCCGTCTCTACTATAAATAGAAAGAAATTAACGGGTCAACTAATATATAGAAAAAATTAGCCGGGCATGGTGGCACATGCCTGTAGTCCCAGCTACTTGGGAGGCTGAGGCAGTAGGATTGTTTGAGCCCAGGAGTTTGAGGTTGCTGTGAGCTAGGCTGATGTCACAGCACTCTAATCCGGGCAACAGAGTGAGATTCTGTCTAAAAAATAAATAAATAAATAAATAAATAAATAAATAAATAAATAAATAAAAGTATATTTCTAAATATATTCTAAAAATAAAATATTTCACTAAAATGAAATAGAAATATATTTCTTTTAATAGGAATATTAAGTTTAAGATTAAATTTTAAAATTACCTTCTAAATTTATCTTTTTTGTCCTTTAAATCATCAACTTCATTGTGTGTGAACAGATCAGCTATACGTGTAAGAAGATTTGCATTAATACAGTTCATGTTGCATGGGGTAGCTACTATGGCATTCATATTTTTGTGGCAATACTGAATACATTGTTCAACCTAAAAAAACACAGAACAGAAAATGAATGTTGAAAACAGTAGTGTGAAGGATAATTTCATAGCAATAGCTTTCAAACATAAAATACATTAAAAGCCTAAACCATGTTTTGTTAGGCACTAGCTGGATTTTGCCTATATGAGTTAATCTACACTATTCCAAAGTGGTCCTGCAGATCAAATCTGTAAAGATATATATACATACCTAAAAAAATTATTTTCAACTTTCTTTAGAATGTTTAAAACAATAATGCATCTTTTATGGTTGTGGCAGGTATAATCTTAGTCTGTAAAGTCAAGTGTACAGGATATGTAACTTCCTATAAACTTAGTTATAATTTTAAGCCTCTTTTTCTCTGGGTGGCAGAAATAAAATTTCAGTTAATTCAGGGTTTTCTCAGTTGTGTTGTGTTTGCTCTTTTTCTTCCTCTCTCTCCAACCTGAGGTGTATTTATCTACTTTAAAAGTAAACAGAAGCTAATCATGTATTCCTCAATATATTTTGCTTAGGGGCAAAAAAATTATCCTTTAGGGTCTAGATTTCAAAATTCAAAGTTGTAAAAATTTCAAAACTCAAAGATTCTTTTAATCTCTGCTTTTTTTCTGTAACTCTTTCCTGAAGCAATTAATACCAGCTGGTTAAATGGGGAGAGGCTAGGATCAGAAAGAATATAGGGAACTAGTAAGATCCCAAACAATTAAATAAACAAATTTCACATCTGTTAACAGAGCAAAGGAATTGTCTGGTCTGTATAATACAGTTTCACCAGGTGTTTTAAAGGAAATATTTATTTAACTATGAACCACAAAATATCAACCAAAAATATATAAAATCATTTTATTGATAAAAAAAATCCATCAAATAAAAAAGAAAATAAATATATTTAATGTTATTACTTGAAATCTGCACATATATATTGTGCTTTTATGTTTCATCAGCTACTCTTAAGCAACAGACATGAACTTCTGTGATATACACACAAAATTATATTAATTGTTGGATATTCATTCTTCATTCACTGAATATAAGTGAAAGACACAAATAAGTAAAACATGCTTAAAGAAATTACTTAAATTAGAAGCAAGACTTGTCAGTAAAAAAAAAAAAAAAAAAAACAAAAAAACAAGAAATTACTTAAATAACAAAAACAAGTATTAACATATTCTAATTAATTTTAATTTAATTTGGTTGTATGGTAAAATTCCCTTTGGGATAAAGTTAATTTTGTTTAGTTTCATCTCATATAACTCCTTGAGGATTAACTGCTTGCTTTATAGACATAACATACAAATGATACATAGTAGGCTTAATCCCCTCCCAAAAGAACAAAGTACTTCCAAACAAGAAGTTTATTCTAATAAAATCGCCCTCTTGAATTAACAACTATTTTAGTAAGATGTCTTAGAATTTTCTAGACATTTGAAGGGAAAAAAAGCATAAGTGAACAGAGAGCTTTAATTTCTTTTTATTAATACTTACTAAGGAATCCATTTTCAAAAACTCTGATGAAATAAGAATTGAAATGACATTTCCTGGCTCTACAAAAAAAAACAAAAAAATTAGGTTTTCTTTCTGATTTGCATGTCAATATCCATATCCTCTGAACAAGCTCCTACTCACTTTAAAAGAGGATGTTACTTTAATAGAAAAATTTAATACAGCCTTATTACATCATATGGGTTAGATAAACAAAAGAAAGAAAATTCCATTTTAAAAGAAAATGTACATAGTAAATTTTCCCTGGAGTTAGATTCATATCATGTAAAAAGACTCCAGCTAAAAATATGACATATGATAATTTCTCCTTAACTAAACCAGAGAAAAAGATAATCAAAATTGAGAATATAATGCATCACATACAAAAGTCATAGTGAGAAAATTCTGAAAATGATAAATGAGAATACTTGTTATTAATAAAGTTATTTCAAAAGGAATTCAATGCTTGTTATGAACATATATTTAATTTAAAAAGATTCTGAAAGATAATAAAAAATTTACTACTGTAGAAGTTAATTCCTAATGGCATACTGAGTGAGCTTTCAGGCATACAGATAGAAAAAGGGGGATGCCACCTGACACTATAGTTTTAGTAAACCTGTCATCTACCACAAGGTATATTTAAGAAAAAATTTGTGATTTTGCACCATTACAGTACTAAGGCAATTCTTCTAAATAAAGGACTAAGCAGACAATGGTTAGAATAAGTAATCCTAATCTTTCCCTAAATAATAAGTCTAGATTAAAGGGTCTCAAATAGAAATGGTGAAGGGAGGAAGATGCTGGTGAAAAAGCTCCTCAGGAAATGGTAAGATACCCAAGTCCAGTTAAGAACCAGAGGGTGGATTATTAGAGAGTCAATCAAGCATTTTGGTAGTTTCTTGATTAGAATAAAGATTGCTTTTGTAAAAGTTTACATTTGTAGCCAATAACTTAAGGGCAAAGAAAGATACCAGAAAGACTAGTTTTGCTCCATTTCTTTTACTTTTACTATACACATAAATATACTGGATCAAACAATACTTTTTTTCTCGCTACATATTTTTATTTTTATTTCACACACATATTTCATATAATTTTTATTTAAGGGCCATTAGAAATCTTTCCTATGAATTTGGTCACTAGAATACAGTAAGTTGTAAACTTCTTTAGAAAACTTTTACACTGTCAATGTAGATTTACTTACTCTGAATAAGAGTTCAGAAATATTTTGATACTGCTGTAAATAGCAGTTTTGGTACACAGACAGACTTTATTAAACCACAAGTGTGATTTTCTATATAAGTCTATGCCCACTGAAAGGTTACTTAGTAATTAATTATATGAGTTATATAGATTAATTATATGAGTATAAAAATTATGAGTATAAAAAATAATATAGATTAATTATATGAGTAATACTAATAGTATGCTATCATTCAGAACACTAGTTCTTAAACTTTCAATCTCAGGACCGCTTTATAATCTTAAAAGCTGAGAATCCTAAAGAGCTTTTGTTTGTGTGGGTTATAATATCAGTATTCACCACATCAGAAATTAAAATACAGAAATTAAAAATATATTTATTAATTCATTAATAAAAGACTTCTTGCATGTTAATATATTTTTATTAAAAATAATTATATTTTCCAAAATGAAAAAAAATTAGTAGGAAGAATGGTACTATTTGACATTTTTTTGCAAATCTCTTCAATGTCTGACTTAATAGAAGACGACTGGATTCTCCTATCTATACAATTTGTACGTAGCATTCTTTGATGTTACACAAAATTTGATAAATGGTAGTTTTTCTTCTTCTTCTTCTTTTTTTTTTTTTGAAACAGGGTCTCACCCACTCTGGATGCAGTGGTGGGATTATAGCACTCACCTCAAACTCCTGGGCTCAACTGATCCTCTGTCTCAGCCTCCCAAAGCACTGGGTTTATAGGGCTGAGCTACTGCAGCCAGCCCAAATGAGAATTTCTTAAAGATTAGTTGCAATGGAATCTGAAACTGTATCAATGAACTTTTCCTACTCTGTTAACATCAAAATCCACTGATTTATCTCATACTTTGAATGGATCTTTAACCCATGTATGATTTTTTTTTTTTTTTTTTTCACTCTGTTGCCTGGGCTAGAGTGCCATGGTGTCAGCCTAGCTCACAGCAATCTCAAACTCCTTGGCTCAAGTGATAGTTCTGCCTCAGCCTCCCGAGTAGCTGGGACTACAGGCATGCACCACCATGCTCAGCTAATTTTTTCTATATATATTTTTAGTTGGCAAATTAATTTCTATTTTTAGTAAAGACGGGGTATCGCTCTTGCTCAGGCTGGTTTTGAACTCCTGACCTCGAGCAATCCACCCGCCTCAGCCTACCAGAGTGCTAGGATTACAGGTGTGAGCCACCATGCTCGGCCCCCATGTATGATTTTTAAAAACATAATGCATTGGTTGTTTGGAAAACACTGTGACTCACTGAGTTATGCAGATCTTCCAAATGCTGAAACATTTTATTTCACTGTACAATATATTAAAAAATTACATTCGTCAATATGACCACCAATCACATCAAAAGAGTCTTTAAGTATTGAGACATTGTCAAGCACATCAAAGCAGGTAAGTTTTCTGAAACTGTAATTCTCACTTGAAAGCTTGAATTTCATCACTGATAACAAATACTTTGTTTCCTTTAAGTGACCAGCTCATTTTCAAGAAAATGTCTGCCAAATACCTAAGTCTGAATAACCATATTTTCTGTCATTCTCTCAAGTAAAAATAGTTTACTATTTTTAAAAAAGCAGCTAGTTTACTTCATGACCCAAACAATTACACAATTGCTTTTCCTCAAGAAAACCATTATATATTGGTGTGCAGTAGAAGTACACTTTCCAGTTCATCAGAGTATTAAAAAGATATACATTCAAAGGTCAAGATTTAATAAGATTAGGCTGGGCGTGGTGGCTCATGCCTGTAATCCTAGCACTCTGGGAGGCAGAGGCAGGCAGACTGTTTGAGCTCAGGAGTTCAAGACCAGCCTGAGCAAGAGCAAGACTCCGTCTCTACTAAAAAAAATAGAAAGAAATTAGCTTATATATAAAATTAGCCAGGCATGGTGGTGCATGCCTGTAGTCCTAGCTACCTGGGAGGCTGAGGTAGAAGGATCGCTTGAGCCCAGGAGTTTGAGGTTGCTGTGAGCTAGGCTGATACCATGGCACTCTAGCCGAGGCAACCATGCGAGACTCTGTCTCAAAAAAAAGATTTAATAAGATTAGTAATTTTTACTGCTTCATCAAGGACATTCTTAAGTGAAAATGGATTTTTTTCTTCTGTTTTTCTTTTTTAACTATGCAACTAGGTACTACTAGTACTGTTTGGTGCCCCTGCCTACATGTGGGCTAAAGCTCTAACGGTTTTACTCACAATTGCTTTTGCATTATCTGAGCAAATATTAACACAGTAAGAAAAAAAAAAATCTTTGTATTATTATGCAAATTGTTTCAACCTCATCGACCCTCTAAAAGGATTCCAGTACTCCAGTGGTCCACATACCATATGTTGAGAACTGCTGATCTAGAGACCTGTCCATTTGTCATAAATTTACTATTACATAATATACTAAAAAAGATGAGGTTATCAGTTTTCTAAAAGGTATTACTAATACGAGCATAAATACTAACATACAAACCATTTTCCACATTTTACTTTTGACCTGAAGAAACTACCAGGTGACACACAAATTTCACTACAAAATAAGCAATAGATTATTTTTTACCTAAAGTGGGCATCTCACAATCTTTATTCTCCTTAGTGTTCCTTTTAACATATTTTATCAACCAGTTGAAAATGTGAACGTCACAATGAACTGAAATGTCCACCTCTTCCCAGCGCTGGGCATCCATAGATAAATATTCAGCAAAGTACTTCATTTCTGATATCAAAAGATCTCGTGGGCAAATAAAATCTTCTTTCAAGTTTTTTGCTTCATCACATACATGGATCACCATGTTTGGCCTTCATAAAAAATGTTACACAAAAATGAAATTATTAGAGTTTTAGAGAAGAGCCAAGAATACCGACATTTAGTGGAGGTAAGAGAACAGGATGTTTTTGGAGATTCTGACCACAAATCAGTTTCATAGGGTTTTGACATTCAGAATTTTTCAAATAAGTGTCTTGCTAACCTGATTGTATCTTAGAACATGACTAATTTTAGTAAGCTACTGACTTAATAAAACAAAAATATTATTCCTAAAAGACTTAATTTACATGCTTTAAAATTTCTTTTTCAAATTATAAATTAAGAATAAGTTTATAAAAATAATACCAATTCACAAAGAAAAATTAAATAAGACATTGTAATTCTTGTGAGGAACATAAAACAGCACTTTTACATGGCTATGGGTATGAGAAGAATATAATAATACTAAAATTTTAATATTTAAAAAAACTCAGCTAAAATTATTCATTAAAGAGTAAAATGAAAAATTAGCATGCTTTACTTAGCTATTTTTAACAGCAAGAAAGTTTGCTTTTGGGCATTTATTAAATATAAATTAATAAATGTAGTTAAAAGGATTCTTAGGACTATAATGTACTTATTTATATATTTAAAAATAATTTAAGAGTAAGTTTAGATGATACATCAGAAAGTTTGCTTCAAAAATTATATTCCCCTTGAATTTACTTTCTTTGGAAATTATATCACCTCAAAAAGAAACATCATGCACTCATTGCATTGTCCCAAAAGGCTTAAAAAAAAAAAAAATCAGTATGGTCCATATCTACCTTCATGTCATTACAAAAGGAAGAGTATAAACAAAAAGAGACATACTATCCTATAATATGAATTTATTTTGTCTAATTCACAAATTTCTAATGCAAAATAATTACAGATGCAAAATAATTTGAACTAAAATTGGGCTACCAGAAAAAGGATTATAATCACCACTCTATCAAAGTCAAAAGAATTTAAATAACTTTTCACAAACTGTTCCTCCAAAGAAATCATAGTCAAAATATAAACAGGTAATAACTGATATAATAAAACATCAAGTTTCTGTGGGTTTGGGCTATAATATGAAATATTAGATAATTTCAGTAAAAAATTATTTGGAAAATTTTTGTGTCATACAAACAAACCTTTCTGTTAAAAATCTATGTGAATAAGAACCACTGAACTATATCCTTTAAAAGGGTGAATTTTTTTATTGTGTAAAATACACATAACAAAATTTACCCTTTTAACCACTTTTAAGCTTAGAGTTCAGTAGCATTAAAGTACATTCACCATCATTCACCTCCAGAACTTTTTCAAAAGGGTGAATTTTATGATATATAAATTATATATTAATCAAGCTGCTATTTAAAAATCTATTGAAAGGTGCACAAAGGAACTTTCAGGAATGATATTGATTTGGGTGATGGTTATATGGTGTACCCATCTGTCAAAAATCATCAAAGTGAACACTTAGAATATGTACAGTTTATTATATATAAAATAGACAAAACAATACAAAACTATCAAAACTTGCAATACATTGAAAAGACATAGCCTAATTTTTAAACCTTTCTATAATGAATAATTATATTCAAACAGTTATAAAATATACATCTACTTTCTTTAATAAAGTTGGAGAACTAATGGCACAGATTTTTCTTTGGGTATTAAAATGTACTTTTCAAAGTTTTATGTTAACACATATTATTTCTAATATTTACAAATATAAAAATAAAATTTCTAAAATAGGAAAATGTAGTCTAATTTGTAAATAATAACATGAGCAAGCCATATGTTTAGGTATAGTCATAGTTCAACACACGAACCAAGCTGATTCCAATTGTTTCAGCAATTGTGTAATGTGAAATTCCGAAATTATGGTAACTGATGCACATAATCACCAATCATATATTTTATAATTTAATGTTGATATTAATATTAAATCTTATCTAGCAAACAACCAGCCTCCTACCCTTCAGATTCTTCAGTCTTTTCTCCACCATTACGAGTAGTACAATTTTCACTTTCTGAAGAACAATTCCTTGTGGAAGCTATACTATGTTTTCCTTAAATACAGAAACAAACACATACAAAAAAAAAGGGGGGGAGTTAGCATTTCTAGCTGAGAATGGGTCTTTACTTATTGAATGGTAATACTGTAAATGCATGGTTTCCAAGGCTATTTAAAGGTAGTACTTGTAAGGTGGCATTTTCCCTTAATATTTCTGAAAGTATAAGGAAGAAACCGTACAAAAAATATGAATCACAAATTGATAATGTTACAATGAAGATTTCAAAAAATATTAATGCAGTGTGTACAAATATGGGTCAAATGTTCAAAAGCCAACAGCATAGTTTTCTCTTCCTGAAGCGAATTTTTATATCAATACTCTGCTGAGATTAAAATAGCTCACTACACCCTGAGGATTTCTAAAACCAGTTATTATTTGGAATTGCAAAAACATCTCTTTTGCTCTGCTACTGTGTCATTTGAAGCTCTTATTGACTGCAATAAAGAGTGGCTGTAGGCTTGGCACGATGGTGTTTGCCTGTAGTCCCAGGTATGTGGAAAGATTGCTTGAGCCCAGGAGTTCAAGATCAGCCTAAGCACCACAGTGAGATCCCCATCTCTTAAAAAAAAAAAAAAAAAAGCAGCTATAAAAAGATTGAAAGACAAGCAAAGTGCTCTCAGAAATTTAAAAAAAAAAAAAAATTAATGAAGCAGAAGTCTCCAACCCTTTTGGTACCAGGGACTGGTTTTATGGAAAACAATTTTTCCACAAACGGTTTCAGGATGCTTCAAACGCATTACACTTATTGTGCACTTTATTTCTATTATTATTACATTGTAATATATAATGAAATAATTACACAACTCACCATAATGCAGAATCTAATGTTGCCACTGATCTGACAGGAGGCAGAGCTCAGTCAGTGATGCTAGCAATGGGAAGTGGCTGTAAATACAGATGAAGCTTTGCTCACTCATTCACTGCTCACCTCCTGCTGCATGGCCTGGTTCCTAATAGGCCACAGACCAGTACTAGTCCATGGCCTGGGGGTTGGGAACCACAGAAGTAAAGGGTATAGTGCTGGCTGGGAGCGGTGGTTCATGACTGTAATCCTAGCACTCTGGGAAGCTGAGGAGGGAGGATAGCTTGAGGTTAGGAGTTCTAGACCAGCCGGAGAAAGAGCCAGACCCCATCTCTACTAAAAATAGGAAATTTAGCTGGGCATGGTGGTGTGTGCCTATTGTCCCAGCTACCCTGGAGACTGAGGCAGGAGGAATTTCCTGAGTCCAGGAATTTGAAGTTGCAGTGAGCTGTGATGAGGTTACTCTGTCTCAAAAACAAAAAAACCCAAAAAGGCATAATGCAAATCCCTTTAAAGTAAAATAACATTCATAATAAATAATAAATATGAAATAATTATGCCAACAGATTAGAGTAGAAAATTTTGATTTTTTTTGGTGATATGTTTGACCTATATATTGACACTTAAAAATTTTTAAATATAGCAAAGATAAATATAATTTTCAAAATTCAGGAAGATACAAACACTAATAGATTTTTCTTTAAAATGTTTATATTAACCTTTAAACAAAGAAAGAAAAGTTGATTGGAATACATAATATTTTGTAGAATCATCATAAGGACAAGTGCTGTATTTTAAAGTCTTACCTGTTTTGGAAACTGCATCCTGACCAATTGGAGTCTCCTGAAATTCTCCCTGTGTGTCAAGAAGCGATGATTTGATATATGTGGCTAAAGTTTCAACAGGACTCTCTCCAGCAGCCATTAGGGGATTATACTGATTGTCAACAGGTGAGCTTCCACTGCTCTTCAGTTCATCAAACCTTTTTGCACACTGTCATGATATAAAATAAAAGAAATAGAAGTTTGGAGGCTGGGCGCAATGGCTTACACCTGTAATCCTACTATTCTGGGAGGCTGAGGTGGAAGGACTGCTTGAGCTCAGGAGATCTAGGCTGGCTTGAGTAAGAGAGAGACCCTGTTTCTACTAAAAATAGAAAAATTAGCTGGGCATCATGGCATGCACCTGTAGTCCCAGCTACCTGGGAGGCTGAGGCAGGAGGATGGCATGAGCCCATGGGTTTGAGGTTGCAGTGAGCTATGATGATGCCACTGCATTCTAGCCCAGGTGACAGAGGGAGACTGCCTCAAAAAAAAAAAAAAAAAAAAAAAGAGGTTTGGGAATTTTTTTTTGAGACAGAGTTTCACTCTGTTGCTTGGGCTAGAGTGCCATGGCAGCAGCCTAACTCAGCAACCTTAAATCCCTGGGCTAAAGCAATCCTGCTGCCTAAAGTAGTTGGGATTACAGGCATGTGCCACATGCCTGGCTAAAATTTTCTGTATCTTTTTAGTTGTCCAGCTAATTTCTTTCTATTTTTAGTAGAGAAGGGGTCTCACTCTTGCTCAGGCTGGTTTTGAACTCCTGACCTGGAGTGATCCTCCTGCCCCAGCCTCCCAGAGTGCTAGGATTACAGGTGTGAGCCACCATGCCCGGCCTGGGAATGTTTTAAATAAAGAAATGAGAAGATATTTTCTTGCCTTCTATTTGAAGGTACTTTTCTATAATTATTTTTTGTAAGTTAGTAGTAATCTGTTGAATAACATCTAGAAAATCTGTACATGTTTCACTACACAAAAGAATCTGGCTTATTTTTTTCTCTTTTTAAATTCAGGGTAGAATTTTATATTAACATGCTTTAACTCAAAAAAATATGTTTATGCTCTTGTACAAATATGAAGACTACCTTCGTCAACCATATATTCCTTTGCTCTGCATCTGTTAACACCTGATACTTTTAATAATTTAGTTAAAAACTTGGCTTTTATTTTTATATTAACTGAGATCCTACCAGGAATAAGACCAAACCCTAACCTTCAGTGTAAAGCAAACAAAGTGTAACTGATTGGTGACACTAGATTTTCTTATTAAAATAATAAAGACTTGGTCACATGTGATGCCATGGCTCACACCTGTAATCCCAGCAATTTGGGAGGCTGAGGTGGGAGGACTGCTTCAGCCCAGGAATTTGAGGTTGTGATGATTGCAGTACTGTATTCCACCCTGGGTTACAGAGCGAGACCTTGTTTCTTGGGAAAAAAAAGTACTTTTGAGAGAAAAGTGGCAAAAGAAGGCCACAACAGGCTTATACATATAGTATTTGTGTTAAAATTAGCAATTTAATTTCAGCAAAACCACTATTACTCATCACATTAAGTTAGCATTATTAGTATGAATTGTGTTGGTTTTAGTGTTCATTTATGTAGTGTATAAATTTGGTTTATAGTTGTATGAAGTGTGTTTATACCTAGTATTATTAGTGCCTATTTAATTTATATCATAATAAAAATAAAGTCATCATTGAGAGTTTCCAAGTTTTTTCCTTTAAAAAGGTTTTTTTTTTTTTTATTTATTTATTTTTATTTGTAAAAAGGTTTTGATATTACTTAAGTTTGAGAAACAGCATGAGGGATTTAATAACACATAATCTGATTTATAAAAATTTTATCTGCCCATAATTTTATTTATTTTATTCATTTTTATTTTTACTTTTTTTTTTTTTTTTTTGAGACAGAGTCTTACTCTGTTCCCCAGGCTAGAGTGAGTGCCATGGCATCAGCCTAGCTCACAGCAACCTCAAACTCCTGGGCTCAAGCCATCCTACTTCCTCAGCCTCCCGAGTAGCTGGGACTACGGGCATGCGCCACCATGCCTGGCTAATTTTTTGTATATATTTTTAGTTGGTCAATTAATTTGTTTCTATTTTTAGTAGAGACGGGGTCTCACTCTTGCTCAGGCTGGTTTCCAACTCCTGACCTTGAGTGATCTGCCCACCTCAGCCTCCCAGAGTGCTAGGATTACAGGCGTAAGCCACTGCACCTGGTCTCTACCCATAATTTTACAGGAACACTTATTTTGCTTAAATTAAGATATTATTAGTGACTTCATAGCAAGTGGGTTAACACATTAACTGCCAAAGTGAGTTGTGTTTAACTAATGCTAGGTTTGAGCCTGGGGCCTCATGAAACATATATAATTCAGATGTCTCTTCACCTTGGGTGTCATGTGATGCACAGGTAACTCATGTCGCCATGCTGTAACATACAAGTTACATGATGGGTGGCCCCCTGGGCAAAACCCTGTAGTTAGTTCATGAAAATCTTACTTGTTGATGTTCCTATTGTTACAATTAGTATTGACAATTTAATTCTAAAAATGTGGATTAAATGAATGAAAGTCAGTAAATTTCATTTTTCTATTTGTTTACCTTTAAATTATACTTAAGCCTGACAAATCAAGAAAAATACTTTACCCTTATGAACTATTTCTCAAGTTTTAGATTACTTTTTACAGTACTAATTTTCAAGTTTTTATTTATATTTTTATTGAAAAAACAGAAAATAAAAAATGAATTTTTCATTAAATTAGAAAGGACTGTTTTGCTTTCAAAGTTTTTATTCTATTTTTGTAATTAAATACCATGGCCCCAAGGAAAAATTTTTTTCCAGTGTGGCAACGTGTTAGTATATAATTAACATAATTTGTATCTAGTTAAATAATACAGATATGTACATATAGTATTAATACATACATATGTATATGTAAACCTCAAATAGTTTTTTTCTTTGGTTATTGTTTCTTTAAATTGACCAACTTTTCTGATTTTTTTCAGGAGATATCTGAGGGACTGTCATTTACCTCTTTGGGTGTTAATCCTGGCACGAGCCTTGCTACTGTTTCCCAGTTGATGGTCTGAGGGATTCCAAGTAATGGATAAAGGATCATGTCCAACACCATTTGGTTATTATTGTTCACGAAATTGTTGTTTTCTGAATATCCACGACTCATCTTTTGGAACTAGGAACAGGAAAGACAAACAACTTTATTTAAATTCAAAATCCAAATATTGTCAGAACATTATAGATCAGTTATAATTCATTCTTAAGAATTATCTACTATTATATAAAGGAAAAATAAAACTGATCTAAAATAAACAAACAACATATATCCCAAATCTCTTCAAATATAAATGTATTTGAATATTATGGGTTGATGGATTTATAAAAAGATGGACAGATGGATAAATATATGATAAAAAACATCATTAAAAAACCACAAAAAACATCATAATAAAACATTGGGAAAAAAAGTTGAATATAATTTATCTTTCTAAAAAATCCTTAAATGTACCTGATTTATACTCTGATTAGCAACTTGTGGGATGGTGGAATTAAGCTATAAAACATACCAAGCATAGCTGATTTGGATGAATTATAATTTCATTCTATTCCTAAGCAAGATCCCTTTTTTCTGTGAATGAATGTCCACGTTATAAACAAGGAAGGCTGAGCATACTGAATTTTTACTGATATAATAAAATAAAATTTAAAACCAAGTTATTCTGATATTTTAGGTTAAGCATAATAATTATTGTGTCCTGTGATAATTAGTTATAAATGATGGGAAGATTAAATCAACATCTCCAGTGTTATTTCTACATGTTTGAAACAATTCTACTTTGGAAAGTTCTTCTCTTTTTCCCTGTATTCAGAAGTAATGTGACAACTGGCCTGATAAGGTTTACTACTTACACACACACACACACACACCTGCAGAGTGGAGGCTTCCCAAGCTTCTTCACCTGGCTCCCCACCCACCTCTTCTCCCATCACAACCTCTAGTTCAATCCAGGAGACCTTGAATAACAATATCCAGTGCCCTTCATCTTAGTCAAGGGTGTACTAGACTTTCAGACAATAGGATTACCAAGAAAAAAGGCTCCAGATGGCTTTCCAAACTAAATGTGGTTCAACAAACATTTAGTGAGCCCCAACTACGTGCCATATATCAAGGATACAAAAATCCCTATTATGACCTGTCCTCAAGTAGTCTGGTGAAGAACACTGGCAGACAAACAGACAATTGTTAATATCATATTAACATCATTTTGGCTAAGAGCCACAGCAGAGGGGAGCCATGGAGGGGCAGAGGAGTGACATAATGGCTGTCATTTACTGAGTATCTTCCAGGAGCCTAGAACTATGCTAAGTCTTTTATATGTTATTTCAATAAATTCTTACCTCACCCCTATACAATAGGTGCTCTCCCCAATTTTACAAGACAAGGGAACAGGTTCAGAGAAATTAAGTAATTTGTACTTACTTAGCTAATAAGAGGCAGAGAAAGATTCAAACTCAGGTAAAACTGACTCTTAAATCCATGCTTTCTATTCTATACAAGATGTATGTAGGAATAGTATGACGGAGACAGTGGATTGGGAGTAATGGCTGAGGGTGGGGAGGGACAGAACCTAATACATTTTTAATTTAGTTAAGAGTCAATGAAACAGTTTTGAAAACTCCTGTTTGTGAGGTGGTGGTGAGGGGAAGGTTGTGGTATCAAAGAGAAAGAGAAACTACCCATTCCATTTCAGGAACCTTTTTATATCAATGTATATGAGACACTTCTTATTTTATTTCAAACATTTACTTATTTCAAACATTTACTGAGTCCCATAGCACTATGTGCCAGGCACTGTATCTAAAGTTAGAACATAAATGTTACAGATGAAAATAATGACAGAGGTTTATGGCTAGTCTTATCTATAATTCGACTAACCCTAATTCTAGGTTGGGAATACAATCTCCACATATAAGCTGTTGCTGTTGAAAAATGTGGTCTACTTTAGGATAAGAAGTTCAAAGCAAAGATCCACTGACAGACCAGTACAATGGAAAAAGCAGTGTACACGGGAGTCTGGAGTTCTGGTTTGAGTTTGAGTTCTATCACATGCCAGTCAAGGTAAGTCATTTATCCTTGCTGAATTGGAGCAATAAAATTTGGTGATGGTAATATTTCTGACTGATGTGTAGAGAGAATCAAAGGGATTATTTTGTGAAAGCACTTTGAACACAATAAAAGTATCTCACAAATGAGATGCAGCATAAAATAAAAGTATCTACTTCCTAGGATTGTGTTGAGGATTATATGGGATATTTAAAACACAGTGCAGGGGTTGGAATATAGTAAGTACTCAATAAATGTTAACTGTGATTAATACTATGTAATTGTTTACATAAGAAGCTGGTATAGGAAGTCAGTTGGTAAACATCATAAAGTTATCCTACATGTGTCTCCATGAACATTAAAAACAAATTACAAAAGAAAAACATTAAGTACTCTAAAATTGTAGCTTCCTATCAACCAGGGATGTACCTTGTTGAAGGGCCAGTATGGTGTAATGGTTAAGAGTGTAGACTCTGGAGCCAGACTGTTCAAATTTGTAACCGTTTCTACCACTTAAGGTATCATCTAATTCAGATTAGTTTATCTCTGTGCCTCAATTTCCTCCCCTGTAAAACAGAAATAACAGTAGTTAGTTCACAGACTTTTATTTATTTTTTTTTTTTTGAGACAGTCTCACTCTGCTGCCCTAGCTTGAGTACAGTGGCATCATCATAGCTCACTGTAACCTCAAGCTCCTGGGCTCAACCGATTCTTCTGCCTCAGCCTCTCAAGTAGCTGGGACTACAGAGGCACATTACCATGCCTGGCTAATTTTTTCTATTTTTTTGTAGAAGCGGGTCTCGCTTTTGCTCAGGCTGGAACTCACATACTTTTGAGAATATATGAAAAGTGTTACCTGGCACAGAATGAGGACTATATAATGCTTGCAGTACCGTGTTTCCCCCAAAATAAGACAGGGTCTTATATTTATTTTTCCTCAAGAAGACACCCTAGGGTTTATTTTCAGGGGATGTGTTATTATTTTAAGTACGGTACAACAATCTACATTTATTCAAATATAGTTAAGTCGTCTTCCTCTGGAACATCATCATAACTCCAAACCCTGAATTCCATCCTGAATTTCTTGCGACTCTATTTCCTTTAGAACCATTGGGCCCAATCTCTCATGTCGAGCAACAGAGCTCTCATGGGGCAGATGAGAAGGGCTGCCCTTCTTCTTTACCACTCCACGATGAAATGCATGGCTTGTGCAGATACACTGGGTAGCCACACCCATCACTAGGTCTTATTTTCAGGGTAGGGTTTATATGGCACAAATGCTTAGAAATCCTGCTAGGGCTTATTTTATGGATAGGTCTTATTTTGGGGGAAACACGGTAGTAGCACTACCACCCCAGAGATCCTTGGATTAAACAGATTCATAAAATGAGTAGAAAGAGGCAGTTATAGATTCTTATCCAGCTTTACCACTTCTAGCAGTGTAACCTAACGCCTCAATTGTCTCAGCTATAATATAAGGAAAATTATACCTACTTTTGAGGTTATGGTGATGATTAAATAATACTATATATAAAGCACTCAGAACTGCATGCAAAAGGTGTTCAATAAATAATTTATTACTACTATTATTTTTCTCCTCCCTACTTTGGCCATTATTGGCACAAAAAATTTCCAAGAATTAGTTTAATAACTATAAAGCACTGCCTTGCACCCATTAGAAAACAGATTTTACAGAACTTCATTTTTTTTTAAATAGTTGATCATCTCAAAGTCTGGTGAAAAAATTGAATGAATCCAAAAGTAATGCCCTTTCACATATCTCCAGCTGAGTTTGACGAAATCCTTGGGAAAGCAGGCTTGGAAAAGGTTTTAGAATGATTGCGAAAAACTTGGGAAAGCAGGCTTGGAAGAGCCTTGAGAAATTTCTATTAATTTTTCTTTTTAGTTCACTGGACTATGGTTTCTCTGATGTGCTGGGCCTTCTGTTTTTCCCCAGAAAAGTGACCAGCAAGGCAGAAAGTGCCAAAAATGTTTGCTTAATTAACGAGAAAGTCACAAAACCTTAACACAGATTTAATGTAACTTTTGAAACCCACTCCAAACTGAGGATCCACAACTCATTCATTCATTCATCTAGTTTCCACACACAGCATTACCATAACTCATTTAAATAGTTAAGTATCTACACTGTCTTGCTGCATCACATCTTGCTGGATTAATCAATTTAGTTTTGAATTTACAAAATTCTCGAAAGACCTAGTTTCTCGTTAACGAACAAGGCATTGTTCTCTACTTGTTTGCCTAGTACATGCATCACTTTCATGCCACATAATTTGGGAGGCATGTCTAGGCATAGGATGTCTTACTATAATTTGTTTGGGCCTTGGTAGAAAACAATCTAAAATGGAATTCAGAGCAAGTCCTCTGGGTACTATTTTTTCTTCACTTCCAAAAGGATTCATTTAAAATTTCAAGAACATTGTCCATGTCAAACACTTAAAAATTTATATGTATATTTCAAATATAATACACATTTATGCTAGACAAGTTCAAAGAGACTTTAAGGGTGGGCGTGGTGGCTCATGTCTGTAATACCAGCACTTTTGGGAGGCCAAGGTGGGAGGATCCCTTGAGGCCAGGAGTTGGAGATCAGCCTGAGCAACATAGTGAGACCTCAACTATACAAAAAAATTTTAAAAATTAACCCAGCATGGTGGTGTAGTCCCAGCTATTTAGGAAGTTTAGGCAAGAGGATTGTTTGAGGCCAGGAGTCTGAGATTACAGTGAGCTGTGACGATGCCACCGCACTACTACACTCTAGCCTGGGCAACAGAGCAAGACCTTGTCTCTAAAAAAACAAAACAAAACAAAACAAAACACCACACAGCGAACTTTAAATCATCTAAATATATATAAAAAAAAATTCTGTTGAAAATTTCAACCTTCTCTTCACACAACTGAATCATACTGAGCAAGGTTAGACTATCCAGCATTAATTCTAGTTAAATGAATGTTCTAGAAATCATCTTAAAGAGTCTGAATGCAAGTATAAAAGGTATAACATTGATGGATAATCCTTAATAAAACATACGTTCTCTTGAAATAGTTGTCACAGTATACCTCATCTGGAAAAAAAGTATAAAATTATCAAAAACTGTGACAATAAGAAAAGTTCAAAGTACCTTACTACTAAATCTATTCCCGTTCATGATAAAATATCAAAATTTTAAATTTGCTTAAGGTAAAATGTGTTATTTACTAAAAATAAAAATTCAATTTGTTTAATAGACTACACTTTTTAAGAACATACCACACTATTTGGGAGGCAAATCCCTTTTCCCATTCCCTTATCTTTGTTTATGTGTATGTATTAATAAGACTAACCTAAGTCACTCCCACACCAGACAGAGATTCAGACAGGCATCTGATGTCTTTTTTTCTCCAAGGAGAAAAAGGCCATTGTAGACAAGAGACATTTTTCCTAGGCAGTGGCAAGATGGGAAGAGAGGGGGCCCGTGGGGCAGGTCAAAGGCCTTTGGCATAACTGAGGGTGGCGGTAACACTGACTCATCCTGGACCAGGGAGAAGCCTTGTGCCCAGGTTTCCTGACTCTTGGCCACAGATGAGATCCGAGGCAGTGGCTTTGATGGTGAAGGAAAAAGTAAAATCACATCCCAAACCCAGGATGAGTACATCCAAGCCCTTCAAACCTCGGGCTCAGAGGCTCACTGTGCGGCGTGTCCTCGGGGAACCCCAAGACTTTCTTGGCCCCCCTCCCGCTTAGGCGCAGCTCTCGGGGAGCCGGGCGGGTGAGGGGCGGACAAAGGCGCCGCGCGGGGACGAGGCGGAGGCGGAGGCAGATGCGGGGCAGAGGACCTGGGCGCTGCCGGGCCGGCGAGGCTGGCGTTCCCTCATCTGGTGCGCGGGCGGGACCAGCTGCGGACATGTGGAACCGGCGGGCTGCGGGCCACCGGCCGGCGGACTGCTGGGTGCTGCGGGCTGTGCGTGGGCACGTTTGGGCGAGCAGGACCCCGGCCCAGCCCGCCCCGCCGTGGGTGAGGGGCCGCGGCGGGAACAGGCTGCCTGCAAGCGGTACTGCCCGTCGCCGCCCTTCCCGCTACACGGCGGGCACCCGAGACCCTCGGCATCTAGCTCACCTCTACAGGGCCGCGGCGGCCCCTGCTGCGCCTCTGTCACCTGTAGCGGCCGGCACCGCCCGCGCTCCCGCCATGAAGCAGCCGCGACCCAGCCAGCTACCCCGACCGTGACGCCCTCACACGCCGACCCCACCCGCTCCCAGGCGGCGGCCCGGGACTAGCGCCGAGGGGCGGGCGAGCGCCGGGCCGAGGCCGCCCGACCAATCGCAGGCCAGCGCCACAGCAGCAGAGCCAATGAGCGAGGAGCTGCAGCCGGGCAGGAGGGAGCGGGACCGGCGGCAGCGGAGGACTGCGGCCTTGCGGGGCGGGCGCCGTCCCCTTCGCCTCTAGCTTTCACTCCCGGCTTGTCGCAGTGCAGCGTCCCCACCCTCCTAGCGTCTGGTCTCCTAGCAACCAGATCCTCAGAGCCTGATCTAGGTGACCAACTTCGAGTCCAGAAGAAAAGGGAATTTATGAGAGATGAAGGGACTCTAAAGAATGGATAAAATGCTTCTTGGTACAGTTCATTTGGTAGCTTTGCTCAGGTAGAACGGGAAAATTGTATGACCTAAGAAACACCAAAAGTATCTTTTAGACCAAACTGTCTTTATCAGGAGGTATCTCTTTAAAAATGTTAAGTAGCTCTGGATTACAGATTCGGTTTTCATTAATAGATTCGTGTGTGTGTGTGTGTGTCTGTGTATGTTAAAGTTACTGTGAATACTAAGACTGGGCATCAGTAAAATGTGTAAGCTTCAATATTGTAAGGTAAATGCTACATGTCAGTATCTCTCTGATTTCCACTTGGAATATGGCTGAGAACCTAAATTAAATGTTAGGATCAGAGAGGACGGAAAAAGTAAAGCCTTATCCAAATGAGAAATTACCATAATGAAACCTAATAATTAAGTAGAGATTAAGTGCTCACTGTACAGAATGTCAGATTTTTCCAATGTTATCAATTGTGACTTTTCTGCAAATCTTTTACTATTTTTGTTCCACAAAGACATTAGAGTTACGCAAGTTTTATACCACAAAGATATTAGGCCAGGTAAATTCTTAAAGAGAAGCTGCTTGCCCTCTATTTCTCTCCTTTATCTTTTCACATAAGCTAGTGCTCAGTTGTGATGGTGATAAGCCATCTTCGTGAAAACAAGGACAACAAATAAGGGATTGTAGAGCATAACATAGAAGGAACTTGGGCCCTGAATTACCTTCTGAAGCGGAGCATACCTCTGGACTGCTACATGAGAAAAAATGTTTATCTTGCTTTAGCTACTGTATTTTTTTGTCCCTTTGTTACGGCACCTTAGTGTTTGCCCTAAAAGAGAAAGTTGGTCCCTGAAAGTGATAACAATAACAAATACAATAACAAAGATCTAATATATGGCATTGGCTAGCAGCTAGAAACATATTGCAGACTGGAAGGCTGGTGACTCTTCCCAAATTTATTGGGTAAAATGTCACCTGTGTTAACCTGGAAGGCAGATTATCAAGCCTATAGCTCTGAAGGCAGTGGTTTAGAAAAGGTCAGAATGTGTTTGTGTTGGCTACCACTGCTTGCTTCTAGCAAGGTTCAACAAAAAGAGATCAAGTCATTAAGAATTAACCAGTTTGCAAGCAGAGATTGAACAGAACTCTACTACTGGACACACTCCATATCTGTTCCTGTTATTGATCTATATACTAACAATCATCTCTGAGGGATCCATTCAGATACTTAACATCTTAAGCTTTCTCATGACTCTTTTCTAGAACAACATAAATTTACAGAATGACAGAGCTAGAAACAATCCTTGAGAGGTCAACTTCTTCCATCTTTTCAATTTAAGTCTCAAACACAGAGACAAGTGTAAGTGGCTTGTCCAAGGTCAAATGGTCAACTCATTGGGTTCATTGACTTTTGCCCAAAGAAGAATCTTTTTTTAGCATTGTATAGATGTTCCTTCTTGAGGCCCTTTGGGCAAAATGGGCGATTTTACCTAAGGCTTCCATCCAATTCCCCCTCCTCATGAAGTTTAACCCTTTTGTGTTCATAAGCTCATCTATTCCTCTATTACTTTTAGTACAGTCTAAGTTGCTTTAATAAGGACACCCAAAATACAGTGGCTTAAACACAAGTTTATTCGTCTTTCAAATTACAGAGGTAGGTGGTTCAGGGCTGGTAGGGCTGCTTTGCCATTCTTGACACACAGCTTCTGTGTCAGCATCTGAAATGGCTGCCAAATTCTCACTCCAACTTCCACACTCCACAGAAGGAATGGGAGGCAGGGCAGGAGAAATACATACCCATGTGTACCACTTTGTGTGGCTTTTGAAACACTTTTAACTAAAATGAAATGTGAAACTAAAAAGGAACCCCATTCATACTGAAAAAAATACACACAAAAATAATTTACGAACAAAAGGCAATAAAATAAATGCAAGTGCTTTTTGAGATTCCAGCTACTACCAAACAATACCTGAGGACAAGATTTAAAACTAAATGTAACCTTTTCTCCATAATAAGGCGAAGGGTTGTCCAAAACAACAAAATTAATGTGAAAAAGTTATCAATAAGCACTGTAATACCTGAAGGTCTGTAATAAATTAAAAGGATGTGTGTTGGGTACCATATTCACTCTCTATGTGTCTCTGATGGTTATGTTCCAGTGTGGAGTTTTACTACCAAAAAGTGGAGGACCCTGTTTGTAATACCCAGTTAAGTTTAGATGCCAAATGTTGAGACTCTTAAGTACTACATGGTGTCACTCCACATGGGTACATGTGGACAACATGTATGCCCAACATTGTGGGATCTTCACTGCTTACTGCTGGACAATATTCTTTCCCATCTCAGTACCTTTGCTAGAAACAAGTAGAATTTCTCATTCGTCTACTAGACTGCTGCTTGAGAATATCCCCGTTCCTAAATATTGTTCTATCTGATTCCCTTAGCAGGACATTAGTCCTTAAAGATAGCTCCTGATTCAAAATTGTATCTTGATAACATAGTTATTAAAAAGTGCTTATCACTTTTAACAAAAGTTAATGTATAGAGAGTCCTTACTATATGCCAGGTGCTCTGCTAAATGCATAATATACAGTATCCTTTAGTCCTCTCAGCAACTCAATAAAGTAGGTATGATTATCATCTTCATTTTTTAGATGAGGAAAGTAAGATACAGAGGTTAAATTCTCTAAGGAAACTAACTAGAAAGTGGCAGACCTGTAATTCAAACACAGGCCTGTCTCCACATTTAACAATGTGGTAAGAAGTTAAATATTCTGTCCTTGAAAATGTTGTTGGTGGTTAGAGACAGGGAAAATACATAAAGACTCCTTAATTTGGTGTTCATAATAACCTTTATTAGTTTACCAGTTATCTTAATCCTCTCATTTTCCAGTCCCAGAAATGTATGAAAAAATCTTGATCCATTTTGAACTTAATGAATACTAACAAGTTTCAAATGAAAAATGTGTTAGCCATTCACATTAAGATTAATTGGTTTTTAAAAGTTTGTGTGTTTTTACACACAAATGGAAAAACACATTTTATCATTAATACAATGGTTGAAGACTGGGCTTTTCCAATTATTAATAATTAACTAGTTTAGTTGCCACATATCATATATGAATGACCAATTTTCAAAGAATTTCAGACTATTATCATAGACTACAAAAAATACATAAAACTACACTATTATAATGTATCTGCTTTGTTCCTCTCTGATGAATCAGAAGGCACTTAGGAAACTTCCTAAGTCTTAAAGCAGAAGTTTCCAAATGCCCATCTCAATTTAAAGCCCTGTGAGGATCTGTGGCAAAATGAAAAAAATAAGATGAAATATACATGCCTGTTGGTTTACTAAGTTAGCCAACCTTTTTTCCTGAAATTATGCCTTTTCTACTTTTTAGTATTAATATCCTTTGTTCCTTGTTTCTCATATCCAACTGAGAATGTATTTCCCAGTGAATTCCAAACTAAAGATTAGTTTTTAGAAAGTAACTATTCTTGGTAGTTAAAAAACTAAAACATCCCAAAGAAATAAAACCACAGATATTATTGATTTCCCACAATGTAAAATTTGTAATAACTGGCTATTTGAGTCTGGAAATTGGAAGGAACTGCTATCTCTAGTGTGGCAGGCTAACATGTGAGACTCTCCTAGCAGACAAGTAAGACCCTGGTTGGGACACACATATTTAAGGCACTGCAGGTCTCATAGGAAGGAGGCAGGGCAAAACCAATCAAAACTGGTAAGCTGGGAAACTGCAGGCAGAAGGGAGGGGGTTTGGGTGCCCTGAGGGTAGATGCCCATAATGGCCTACCTGTCAGAATACTGGGTACTGGACCTACTAAGTAGAGTTGGAGGAATCTGATCCTGGTTTCCTAATTTTACACAAGACCTTCAAGGAGGACTAAAGTGGTCCCAGAATGGCAGTACTTCCATACCAGAAGCGGAAACAAATCCTCTGTGGACTTAACCCTTCCTCAATATTGGCCTGCAGAACTCACGCAGATTAACAAGCAATGAGCTCATAAAGATCACTATATATGTGAAGATGCCAGACATTACATGTGAGAGTTGGCAGAAACCTTTTAACTTCCAAGGATTGCAGATTAAATTAGAGTTCTTGGAGACATAACAAGGTATGCTTAAATAAAAGACACAACAAATTATCAGGAATGGACAGATTGAAAAAAAGACATGAATTCTAGATATAATTATTCAAATTTAAAATATAATTATTAAACCATAATTATATTGAGGAGTGAATGAGTTAAATGGCAAATTAGACACAGCTAGTGAGTTAACTGACAAATACACACGAAAAAATTACCCAGACTGGAGGACACAGAGACAAAGAGATACACATTATGAGACACAGATACAGAGGAGAGAACAAAGTCTAATATAGTTCTAATTTGAGTGCAAAGAGAATAGACAGAATGGATGTAACTGTTGCAAAATTTCCAGAGTTAATTAAAAAGATGAATCCAAAGATCTACAGATCCTGGAAGCAAATGTATTAGAAACAGAATAAATAAAATGAAGTTGCTGGAGGCAATTAAAGTATCAATTCTAATTATGCTAACAAAAAGGAATGTTATCTAAATGACTTCTCTTTTCTCTGGGGCTTATTTTCCAACTGAAGCCTACTACACTGGGTTTAAACTACAATTTCTTCAGTGTGCTGGGCTATAAACATATTACTGAAGTTTAAAATCAACCAAGTTTAAACCAGTCAAAATTTAAATAATACATATTTTAATCTCAATTTATTATGAAATCTAATAGTATAAGCAACAAAACATGACTAGTTATGAATGTCTAGGGAAATAGTTCATACTGTAGTTATGAGTTCAAGCTATTATTTTACATTGTATTTATGTCATTTATCATTAATGTTGGTGGTAATTTCATAATGAAAGCCATATTCTCTTTTCAGAGTGAAACCTTTTGGCATTAATGAGAGTGTTAGGAAAAGATAACTATGATTTATCCATTCATTCTTTCAACATATAAAGAGTGCCTAAAATATGCTAGGTACAGTTTCAAGTTCTGGGGATGGAGGACGAGACAATGCAGTATATGCTACAAAGGAAAAAAAAAGCAGAGAAAAAGAAAAGGAACACACAGGGAGAAGGGACAGGTTGCAGTTTAAAATAGGACAACATGGATGGGCTTACTGAGAAGGCAACCTTTTGTTTTTCCTTTTTCTGTCTTCCCAGTAGACTAGATGAGAATGCAAGTCTTTTTTTTTTTTTGAGACAGAGTCTCACTCTGTTGCCCTGGTTAGAGTGCCGTGGAATCAGCCTAGCTCACAGCAACCTCAAACTCCTGGACTCAAGTGATCCTTCTGCCTCAGCCTCCTGAGTAGCTGGGGCTACAGGCATGCGCCACCATGCCAGGCTAATTTTTCCTATTTTTGGTAGAGACGGGGGTCTTGCTCTTGCTCAGGCTGGTCTCGAACTCCTGAGCTCAAACGCTCTGCCCGCCTTGGCCTCCCAGAGTGCTAGGATTACAGGCGTGAGCCACCTCCCGGCTAGAAGGCGAGTCTTGACCAATGACCAGAAAGATACAGAAGAGGACGCTGGCAATGTTTGGGAGAAAAGTGCTCCAGACACAAGCAAACTACGTGCAAAGGACCTATGGTGGAAGCATGCCTGGAATATTCAAGTAACAGCAAGGAAACTAGTCTGACTCCTGTGAGACCAGCAGGGGAAGAATACAAGGGAGTCAGAAGGCATGACACCTTGTAGAGCAGTGGTCCCTAACCTTTTTGGCACCAGGGACTGGTTTCATGGAAGATGATTTTTCTGCAAACAGGGAGTGGGGGTGGGGGTGGGAGAGATG